TTATTTAGATCAGGGACTTAATATGGTTATATTTCATATTATTACCAGTTTTGTTGCTTTCAATATGGACTCTCATAATCGTATCCAGCATACTAATAATAATCCTTGGACTTTTAATTCCCTAAGTAGGTCACAATACGAAAGCCTTTTTGATACTACACCTGAAATGCGAGAAGTTATTGACCAAGAATTACATACATATATTTCTGAATTACTTGATTTGTTATGTAAAGAAAAATCATCTGCGACTAATACGATTGATTCACTTGCTTCTAATATAGGTTCAAGTAGTCGTTGTAGTAAACATTGTTCTAGCTATAACGAGAAGAATATTGATAATTGGAAGCAGGTATGCCCTAAATGTAAATCTCGTCTACCTACGTTAGCAGAAATGTCAAAAGATGATGATAAAGTTGAGAATATAACAGAAAAGTCGATTGTATTTAAGCCATATAATATTGAAGAGCAGATTCAACGATCCAATGCACCAAGAATTAGCATAACTCAAAAAGCACATGCTGATCAAGGAGTTAATATTCCGGAAATCTTTGTCCCTGACCCCCTTGATATTAATTCAAATTCAACTGCTAACGTTGAAAAAATTCTTCTCCACATTGAGAATATAGCAGGAATTAAAAATGGGACGCATAAATGGGCGGTCGTAGCTTGCGATGGCATTCCATATCATCGAATGGCTAACATAAAGGATAAATATCCATGGTTAGTTCTTGTTCCTGGGCTATTATATGAGGAAATGAATATGCTTCGAGCATATGTTGAATTAAATTGGTAATTTGTATTGTTAAATACTTTTTTTTTTTGTATTTATATTAACTTTTAATTGCTTAAAAATAGGAGTGTCGATCTTAAGCAATTTGCAATATCCCAGGGATATAAGACCAAAAATCAGCTTAATTATTTTAAGAAATGCTACGATTACCACAAGTCATAGGATTCGGTCTGCAATATTTATCGCCAAGCTATTGCTTTGGAGTTAATATGGCCATACATTAAAAGTCATCCTATTTCGACGGTAGAGGGTTATTTATTCTGGGTAAGGGAACAAAAGGATCTGCTTTATCAAGTAAAATTCAAGCAGGTAAATTTAAGAAATTAAATTCACCAGAATGTCTAGTTTCGAAATCAGACATCTATTTCGAAACAAATCATGATCATTTGTAATTAATTTATATATATATATATATTTTTTAGATATTTATTTATCTTCAAGCCATTGTTAATTATAGAACAGCAATTAGAAAAAACAATCTGTTATTGAAAAGAGCTGCGAAAAGAATTTTCTCTCCAATATGGTCTGCACGAAGGCACCCAATATACCGTCAGATAGAAGTTTCTGATGAAATACAATTTATACGGCTTGACTCATTGGTAAGAGATGTTATAGAAAAGAATTGTGTTGTATCTTGATCAGGATTCATTAACTAGCATCAAGGACAAGATGCAATTTTAGAAGAAATAAATAAAGCTCTAAAAACTTTAATACCTCCCGTCCCACAAATGCGGCATTGGAAAATTGCTGCTCAAAATTGTAAGAAGTTTTTTCAGGTATGTATCTGATTATTTATAACCTAATTCTTTATATAAATTTATTTACATATCGAATTTTAGTTGCGAAATAATTTCTTCAACTTAATCGGATTAAATGATTCTCAAATGACTAGTCCAAGGAATCGGCCGGAAGTGACTACGGAGTGCCAGAGGTTTCGAGCTCGTCTACGTAAAGATAATTTCGTTAATCCAACAATGGACTTGAAAACTACCTATAATAGCTTGGGAGAGGAATATGAATTAAGTTCACAATTGATGGATTTCACTAATTTAGCTAAACAAGCTAGACGTAAATATATTACTAATATTTTTATTAATAATGGCTCAGCTCCTTTATTTAGACCAATTCCGATTACTAAACAAGAAGCCATTGCGCAAACAAGTGAAGTATCTATGATGAATGCAGAAATTGTTTGCAAAATAGAAGTGTTTCTTGAACAATTAGATGAGAGCATTCAAAAAAAATATCATGGAATTAAATCGAAAAAATGTAGTAAATTGTTGGTTATATTGGAAGAGGTAAGATCTTTAATTAACAATGAATCTAACATTGAAAATTTAGGGATATCGGGAAGTGAAATAAGTGAAGTAGAATACGCTTAAAGTTCTTCAAGAAACTTATTTAAAATCGGAGGTCGTCGTGATTCTTATTTAAAATCGAAGGGCAATTTTAAATTTTAATATTCAAGGATTCTTTTTTTTTATTTTTATTTTTTTTATCACTTTTATTTATTGATTTATTGACTGATTTATTTATTTATTGATTAATTTATTGATTTATTGATTTATAATATTATTAAATTTGAATTTAAAATTTTAATAAAATCATGGTTATAAGCGAAATGAAAGTTACTTTTATAATTTTTGCAGGACCCATAAACAAAAATAATTATAAACAATCGTCTAAGACTATCTGCTACCAGATTTCAAAGTATCCCCATAATACCGATCTGAATAAAATATAATAAAAAATATCCCTATTCTTATCCCTTTCGCGAGTCAAGCCTATATGTCAAAAGCACAATCTGATTCAAAAAATTGCTTCTTGATTTATTTTCATCATCTTGTTTCATCCATCAAGCCAATATTCAACTCTGACAGAAAATTTTGCCATTGGTCATCTATTTGGATCCAATTCTAAGCTTCTTTTGGCCAATCTTGTATAGCATTTTGGCATTCCTTCTCCGAATCCTGATCGTTCATGTCTTGTTCAATATCAGATGATACATAGAGTCCCAAATCAGTAATATGCAATATGTAAATTATTATGCCAAATATTACAAAAATGCAAATCAAATGAATCAATTCTTGTGAATAAATTGTTTCAAAATTACATGTGATACAATATAATATATTTAACTTATCTTTCTATATCATTTGAGATATAATTTCGAGATTCTGATGTAATGAACCTTGCATATCTCAAGATAACTTTTAGTCAGATCGTCTTTTGTTACTCCATATTTTGTTATTCTGATGATTTTTTATATCTTCGAATCTTTATTCGAATGGAATAGGATATCGAATAGTTCTGCAACAGTATTTTTTTATAGTATGGAAATGGTCAAATTATTCTTCGGTGCTTCCTATTTAAAAAAAAATAAAATAAAATAATTGGGTTTCGAAGTTAACAAGTAAGCGATATTTCGAAAATAAATAGAATTTTTTCGATAGCATTTTTACTTGGATTATAAATCAGAAAATAACTTTGAAACCCCCTAATACTGTAATACGAATAATATGCGCAGTATATTTAAAATTTGGTAGATTTGATTGGTCACTGACTAATTAGCCAATCACATGAATGTTCTACCGGAAATCTCTAGAATCATGCGATTAACATTTTATTACCATAAAGGGTGTGATCGACATCATCCATTTTTGATAATATCCCTGACTGTATTACAGTCAACTCTCTTTAAACCGAACAGCAGGTTCTTATATATAAAAATATTTAAAAGTTCAGTTTACAAAGAGTTATTATGTTGCTAATCCGAACTTAATAATAAATTTTACAAATGTTCTGAAGCTTTATGTTCAGTTTTCACAGAGTTTATTAAGTGTTCAGTTTATCCAGGTTCAGTTTAAAGAGAGTTAACTGTATATAGAAATACTCAGAGGCACTTGAAAGCACTTTGTGTAGAGATACTTGAAAGCACTTTGTGTAGAAGCACTTGGAAGCACTTTGTGTAAAGATATTTAAAGGCACTTTGTGTAAAAGCACTTAGAGGTACTTTGTGTAAAAACACTCAGAAGCACTTTGTATAAAGACACTCAGAGGCACCTGTGCCACATATTATTTTACTTAACCACAGCACCACTGTGCTATATTCTTTTACCTAATAAAATCTTTCCCTATTTTAAATATAATTAACTATAACTAATACAATATACAATATAATATAATATAATTTAAGATGCTAATTAACTATACTAATAATCTAATAATATGATAATAATTATAATATAATAATTAAGTCTATTCCCTAACATGTTTCTGTGTTACAACCCACTTTGTAACAATGCAATTGCATTTTTATTAGGTATTGTTTGCATTATTATAATTACCAATTTTATAATATATTTATGTGAATTTACCATTATTGTTACTCTATTTTTATTGGCTTGTCAAATTATTATTATTCTGTTAGAACTAAATAAAAAAATTTTTGTCAGATCTAATTTGCGTTATTGTTTGATTTATATTCTAACCCTAATTACTAGTCGTGCATAGACAAGAGTAGTAGTTATCGTATTCTTCCGTGAATAAGCAACACACCCCATTTTTTTTAAATATCAGATTAGTGGGAATAATTTGGCTAAAGACTTCATTGCGATTTCCGCTAATCTGACATTTAAAAAGTGGGGTAGAGGGTGTAGTGCTTATTTACGGTAGGATACGATATTTAAACAAATGTATAGCGTGTAATAATTGTGGCAGATCATAATGAAATCGGATTAAAATGAAACTGGGGACCTTTCTTGCTCATCTTTAAAGCTTATAAAACCCACTTATACTCTTTTATTAATAAAACTAACTCTAAACCCTAACTCTAACACTAACCCTAACCCTAAAAAATGTCCCCCAAAAAATTTTAAATTTTTCTAAAAAAATAGAAAAATTTCATTTTAATCCGATTTCATTTTAATCTGTCACAATAATTGATGTTCGAAATTAATGTTGCATATATCGATATGCACGTCGCTCTCAATTTGGTAATATCATATGATAAGTCGACTTACAGTTGACTTTTAAATGACTTGACTCTAACCGATTTGAAAACCGACTAAACCGAGTTGTTTAACATCCCTACCTAGCATAAAAATGCACGTCCGATAATGCCACACGAAATAGCACATAACTTTGTAGGGAGTATTTCGCCAAACTAAGACGAAAGTAATTTTGCAAGTAATCCGGTCAGGCGATAACATCATATAGGATTAGATCTATGAAAGGAAAAATTCCCGTGCAACGCGGGTGAACTAATAACTGCAATTAAATAGTTTTTTTTTTTTAGATTTGCTTAAATTATTATTTCTGCCCGCCCCATAATAATATACTTACGGCCAGAAGAGCAACATTCCCATGTGTCATTCCATGAAATATTTGAACAAACAATAATTGTAAAAAAGAAGAAAATTAGTGACGAACATATATGACGATACTCATTCTCTAATAAAAACATAGTTCTGAAATTTTAAAATACCCATAATTTTATATTATTAACAAGCAAAGCCGAAACTCTGCTATGTCAAAAGATTTTTTTTTCTAGGGTGATAAAAATAAATTATTATATGATACAAATTAAACCTTCAGTTTCTATATGTCAACTATGTCAACCATAAAAAAAATTACAAGCGTACATTATTATACTTTTTTCATAAGTAGATAAAGTCTTGCTTGACCTTACTTCTACGATGTGCGTCATTAACGACCATTTATGGATCTGAAAGTTTATTCGTAGTTAGAATACCTCAATCCGAGAAAATAAAAAATAATTTTTTTTTTTTTTATTGTTTAATTTTAAACGGAAGTATGAACTTGAGCCAAATTCCAGAAAACGATTTCGAGGATGTTTTTTTTTTTTTTTTTTACAATAATCCTTGTCTCTTCAAATCGTCATAAGTCTTCTTATTAAAGACATTTCCATCCTGATCTTCAAATTCTTCCATCGTATCCGGTTTGAATTCATCAGTTTTACCCGAACTTTTTAATTTTTCCCATACTAGGGTTTCAATTACAATATTGGTTAAGAAATCTTGCAAAGACTCAATAGCTAGCAATGAAGACGCAAATATTTTAATACTTACAAGCATATGCATCTTCTATCAATGTGATTTCGTGAAAATGTCGCGTATTTGGTATACCCAAACATCTCATACCATGAGCGTGTCTCCATTCCTGAAAAATTTGAAGTATTTCAAAATTTGTGATGATGATTATATTTAAATACAAAATTTAATTACCTGAAAATGTCTATCAAAAGCTTTTCTGCCCATGTAAACATAGTTGCCACATATTTCGCATGGGTATTCGACTCCAAGTCCGTGTAACTTATAAAGCCAGTATGGGATTGGTTTACCATCCCATCCAAGAGGCAATTTCAACGGATTATAAATTTTATCCTCATCTTCAGATTCGGATTCTATATCATCTACTTCTTCCGCTTCTAACTCCATCTAAAATGATTATGAAAAATAGAGGCAAAATTTTAGGGCAAAAAAAAAAAGAATTTAATTGAAATGATAATAATAGCTTACTCTACGCTCTCTGTCAGTTAAGGCTCGCTTCCTCTCTACGTTTGCTTTAGTGTCTTCTCGCTGTGAGCCCAATATTTCCGCATATTTGCGTATCAATGCTTCTATAAATGCAATTTCTCTTTCTCGACTATCTCTTTCATTCTCCGCTTCTTTAATTAATTTTTCTTGTGTTTCACGATCTATAGATGTAATTCCTTGTTCTACCATTGCATTAGCAGCTTTTATGTGCTTTTTACTTGTTAAATGTGCATCAAATACTGTTTGTTTCTTATAACCCTTACGACCTAAATAATAATAGAGTGAAGATGGTTGATAAATTAGTTCAAAACTAAGCAAAGGATATAAATTTAATAAATATATACAAGCAGCACAAAACAAGGACTTGTCTTCGTCTGAACCGATTTGTTTTTCCCATCCAGGAAATTTTCCACTTTCCCATTGCTGATGAAAACTTTTTCTAGTTGTCTCTTTAATGTCTTCCAAATTAGAAAGTGGTTTTACCCTTCCGAAAAAGCTTTCTAAATAACTACGTAAATCTTCCAAATATCTAGTACGAAAAAAAAAATAATTAATTAATTTACAACATATAAATTATATAAATTATAAAATTTGTACAAGATTATATAAAAAATACTAACTTAATATATTCTCCGTGTTTATTTTCTTTGGGATACTCAGCAAAATTATCAAATTCACTCAAATAAGTTAAATAATCTAGCTTTTTCA